TGCTAACTTCCACAATATGTGCCGAAACGCTCCCGGGATATTCAAAACTCGATCCGAACATATGCCCAAGTCCGAAATCATCATACAAACCTGCTGGAACCTTCAAATCCCAATTCCGAGACCGTTTACTCAAAAATCCAACCTTAGTCAATTCTTCCAACTTAAAGCTTCCGAAATGAGAATTTTCTTTCCAAATCAACTCTGAACTCCCTGAATCTTAATTCCGACTACGCGTACAAGTCATAATACCTGAAGTGAAGCTGTTGATGGCCTCAAACCGCCGAATGACGCGCTTGAGCTCAAAACGACCGGTCGGATCGTTACAGTTTTAGAGCAATTCTGCGAACTGAAGAACTAATATGCGGCTCGCACATCCGATATGCGAGTTGCAGAATAGGAAGCATTGTAAATATTTAGTACTATTTGTATTAAACTAGAAAACAAGGATTTGTTGTTATCTTTTTTATATTTTTTTAGGGATTCTAGGGTTAGTTGTTAACTTGAACATATACTCTTCAGTATCAATGGAAGAAATACGCTTTTCCTTCCTCTTCGAGCCTAATTCTCTTCGTATTTTGGCAAATACATTAGAAAGAATGTGCAATATTATGACTCCTTATTTGAGTTACAATCAATACTCATATTTTTATAGATAAATAGAACTTTTACTTCATTTGTTAATTAGAAAATTTGGCACACGATTACGTAGGAACTATTGTGCGAGCCCAAACATTGACCTTAGGCATGTTTAGGGCACACAATCAGACGCTTGGGGAGTAAGCTTAAAAATCTAAGCCCCACATATGAACCTCAAAGTGTTTTGCAAGTGTCCGCCCAGAAGCGAGTCATGGATGAGTCCTAAAACAGGCTTTTAAAACACTGGTTTTAACCCGAGTAAACTATTAGGGGTACAATAAGAGCTCCCAAGTTAACAAGGAAAGGAAAAGAAAAGAAAAAGTTCCCATCTTAACTTTTCCTCAACAGTTTCAAGTCCATTTAGGCTTTAGCTGACTGCTGCTCA